CCTCGGAAGGTGTGTATGTCCTCGGAAGTTGGTATATAATTGTATTTGTGTCCTCGCCACAACATATAGCAATCCAAGTACACGCACACACACATACACATTTGCACAAAAAGTCAGTGATTGTGTTTTTAACAAACTCCATTATTGTTTTTTAAACTGATTTTTACTCTACAAAAAATGGATCAGTACAAAAGTATTTGTATTCTAAAAACAAAGGGGTCAAAAGTTTTCATGGTAAATTTTATTTATTTATTTTATTTAAACATTTTATGATAACCAATTTACATCAAAGAAATATGAATAATCACATAAAACTAAAAAGTAATCTACCATGGGGTCACAGAAAATCACAAAATCAATTTACAATGTGAAACATTTTCTATTAGGATTAGTCTGAGATGTACCACCTACTTTTGAGATATTTCCTGTTGAACTTTTCATACTTTCGACGTTAGTTGTGTTAAGCGCAGCATGATGGGATTTAGTGTAGTGACAACAAACAGTAATCTTCCGGAATTTGATTTTTGGTCAAGTTACTCGAAATAGAAAGGACTTTACTCTAAACAATACAACTTTAAAACAAGTACCAATTATAAGTCTACAATATAAATGTACTTACCACTAAATGAGGAAAAAGTGATCCATGAAGAGAATTTGCCCATCTCACCAATGCTAGGCAACCACAGGATACTGAAGTTAACCATGGTGACACTAAAATAAAATATTCTAGTTATCCATCACGACATTCAACTAAATTAAAACAGGGGACCAATGACATATATTGAGATTATTATAAGGATACCACAAAGTACATGTATACACAAAGGCAGTACAATAATTTTTACAGTAGTGAAGATGTGCAGCAGAGGTTGATTCATTCCAGTAATAATAATTTTTTCTGTAATGATCCGGTATCATTATGTACATCTTTTCCATGCTTGTTGTAATAAATGACAATAAAGAATATTGCATGCTATGCAAATGTTTGCCGTATTTTATTACACTCACATGCTGACAAAGCTTCTGCGTCTTAAGTCCACAAAAGAAAGAATTTGATGCACAATTTCCAAATAAGGAAGACACTCAAACATGCTCTTATATAACATATGCTATTTAATGGATGGATAATCCTATTTTTTCAGTGCCTTCACCATTCATTAATTTTGTGCAAAGTAACATAACAAGTGACCTACCCTCTGATTTGCTGTTAGCAATTTCTTCTAGCAATCCTGTAACACCACGTTCATACCAAGCACTCATTGATCGCTTCCATACAGTCTCAGAATGCTCTAAAAATGCTGACTTAGCACAAAATTGAGATGACGAGGGTCGTAAGCTGTCAGATGTGATTTCAATCTTGGGATAATTAAGTTTCTGTAAAAAAAAACAGTGTACATGGTTAGAATGATCTACAACTAATCACAACAAGTTTTCAAAACATGCCAGTTAATCTGCATAGGTCAATTTTTTATATTATAAAAGTTATAGTGTATTTACCTAAATTAATATTCCTTATAAACTTCAATATTGTTGAAATTCAGTTCATTTTATTATTTTTAATATTATCATTGCAGCAACCACTCATGACAATGTGAGTAATATACCATACTTATTGCTCAGGGTACTCAGACCCACTTTTAACGAGTTGGGTGTTTAGTAAGCACTCCCTGAACTATTTTTTCATTTATGTGCAAAGTAGCATCGTCATTGATTTCCACAATAAATTTACAACGAACAAACACAACAAATATTCATCTTTTATTACAATATTATTTATATACTATCAGAATTTATGATGTAAACATTTCTTGGTCAGTGAAAAAACAGTCAGTATATTCTTGTTGGTTAATGTTTTTGAGCATACACATACTCTTAATGTGAAGCTATTTCCTACATGTTTTATTTTGCTGCATGATTTAACCAATCATTTGACAATTGAAAACATAATTTTTACTATTCAGATTTATTGTAAATTTTTAAAAATTCAATTTACTTACATTTATACATGTAATAATAATAATAATAATAAATAGTTTACATATAAATGTAAGAATGCATTATATTTTCAGGGCAGCTGGCAATCTCTGTATATTTTCTTTTCTCATAAGAAAGCATTTGTGAATGTATTTTGATATTTTGAGAATTACCAAGAGAACGTAGATTTGAGGGATACCTGGTATATTGTGAAAACATTCAAATTGTCTAGTACAGTAGTTGGCAAAGAAGCCATGTTTTGGCATCTTGAGATGGTCAGTCAGTGATGGGAGGGGAGAAAAGGTGATACATGTATTACATGTTTTATCACATAGATTTTGCATTATACATGTGTTAAGGCATTAAACTTAGATGTGTTCTCAATAATTTCTACACTACAGCAGATTTGATGTTTTAAATTCACTGGTTTGTGAAGGAAACACATTTTCTATTGTTAATATTATACATTCACTGGGTTTTAATTCAGTGCATTACCTATCAACCAAATTATCAACTGCAAAATAAAGCCCTATTCTCGGGGACGGGGCTATGTCACAGAAAATTCCATGTTGCTAAGACACACCCACTGTACTATGCATTTCTAAGGGCATTGCACAAGCTGCTGTGGAACCTCAGCCGAAGAGATGGTGAAAAACAACACAAACTCAACTACAGTTGTATTAGACAATCCTGAACAACCAGATTTATATATGTTGCACATGTAGGGGTATATCTTGCTACACTATGTAAGGGAGTCTCAATAACTAGCCCAAAGCACAGTTTTTTGAGAGTTTTCGACCATTGTTGTTTACCGGTTGTGGTTGCCAGGTGGGGAAAACGCTCGGATGTCTATCCCCTAGAATACAGTTACTTTATAGATTCTCATCTATACATGTATGTAACTTGCAATATTCATACATTTGTTTACACTAGTTATGAATCACAAGAGCATCTTACCCGACTACCTTGTAAATAAACAGCAATGTCGTCTTCTCCAGCCTCATTAAACATTAATTCACTGTTCAATTCACATACTGTCACAGAATCTGCCGGTGGTGGTGGAGAAAATGCCAGTAATAGTGACATGTTCTGTAACACAAACACACAAATAATAAATTGAAATAAATCAATAATTGAACATTAAGGAAACTGATTTACAACTGGTGCCAAAATAAACTATCACTATCACCTTATCAATTTTCATAGAAAACTGCAATATCCTGAAGATTTTTAGTTGCGTTTGTTATGGCCCGAGTAAGATACCAGTTTTCATCATCAGTTTATTTCGTCATGCTTGTAAAAAAAACAAAGAAAAAAACTGCCTTTCATGCTTGTCCCGAGGAAAATCACAGAATATAAATATTAGTAATATTTATTATTAAACATTAAAGACCAATGACATCTTGTAAATGTACATACATGTGCCCAACCCTGGGACTGATGTTACATCCTCTTACATTGATGAACATTTATTTGGGATTTGGCTTCTTGTTACAATGAACATGATATATATATATAAACAATTTTACAACAACACAAATCAGGGTCCAAACTAAATCAAACTGCAAAACACAGCAGTTTGAATTTCCAGTGCAAAATGAAATGGAGGCCCTGGAATTTCACTGTTTCAGATCAACCAAGAGGCAGCTTAAATTCTAAACTGCTGTAGTTGTAAATATATTTTGTTTTTGTTCATAAAAAACATATTTTTGAAAAAATACTAACATGCACATCACAGCAAATTTGTTGACTGCATGATGCTTGCTGAAAGCAAATAACTGCAGATTGTTGTGGATTAACTTGTGGTTTCTTAATTTTTTAGGGAAAAGTAACTCTCCCTTATATCATTAGCCATCACATTGCACGTGGGATTCTCTGGTCGACAATCAAAGGCCACACGCAAAGCAAATATCCAACAGTGATGTATGGAGGAATTATTGGGGAAAGAGTTCCTTAAGAGAAGGAGAAGGAATCCCACGTGAGGGCATCCTTCTTTCAACGGAGTGTATTTTGGATCATTACCGTTACGTTGTGTTGGGAGTAACTTCTGGTCCACGGCTAGTACATTGGTTGAACATGTACATCTGTCCGACATCCGATATGTGCAGCTCTACTGACATTTTCTACAGATATTATTTAAATCATCAAGCACTTTTAAATTTATCTGAACTTTCTTTAACTTTTATTTTTGTTAATGTTTGTAAAATTTATTACATAACAGCTTAAAATGATTTGTTAACTTTCATTATGGTGTAATAAATGATATACTTATGTGATAAATGTAATAAATAATTATTATTATTATTATATTTAAATGAGGACATAACGCAACCAATGAGTCATGGAACCGTCTGCTTTACGCGTACATGTTTGGAAAGTACACACGCTCGGGTCTCTGCTTCAAAATATCCGCGTAGATGGATTTGTCTTTTTTGCTCTGGTGTTTTGATTTTCACAGGATTTAACCCGTTTTAGTTCGAATAAAGGTAATATAAGTCGATCGATAGTTTCTACCGATATCATGCTTGAGTTGTGTGAAGCGAGACGAAATACAATTTTGAAAATCATGTTATTTTCGGACAATTTCGATGTCATGGTGTCAACGCTTTCCTACCTTGTGTTATTATATGAGTGGTAGGTGAATGTGCCGGCGACTGACTAACTATGCCGATCCGACTTTAAGATAGATAGATAGATAGATAGATAGATATTTTATTTGACACAAAATTTAGCATGAATGAAAAAAAAAACATACAATAAATCAATGGTCAAGAAAAACACAAACAAAACAATAGACTAAACTAAAGCTTAGAAATAAAATCAATAAATTTTCCCAAGCAATTGACAATGAAGCTATCCTTAGTGCCTAGCAAGCACTTGAATTTCTTATGAGTTGATAACTTGCAAATGTTGTCATCATAAATTGCTAATTCAGCTTCAAATTTAGTACGAGCTTGTACAATCTGACTATTGTTACATGTGAGTAATACATGAAATTCATCCCCAATAGCCTGTTCATTACATAGAGACAAAACCTTTGCTCTGGAGGTGTTTTATTATATCCAAGTTTTTCAATTAGCAAAGAGGGAGAAGAAATGCGAAACTTAGTGAAGCTGACTGTGTTGCACATTTTTGATTTGTTCTAAATATGGTTCAAATTCAAATTTTTTTTTAAACTTGTTAAAAGTACGTAGCTTATTCTTGGCAGGACTCCAGAAGACGTACCTACACTTTATGCAATTTTTTTTAAATTATGCTAATTTATTCATGACGTAGCAGTTTCTGTGCTCATGAATATTCACTAATTTGTGGGTCAATACATTTTAAAATATATTATATATTATTTTGGGGGGAAGAGTTAGAAAGGGGGATCAGTAATCATTAGGGGGTCAATACAAAAGAAGGGACCCATTTGGAGAGCAGCCATGCTCCTCGTGTCTGTTGTTGCACTACAGCTGTCAACTGTGTTCATTCTTCGTCGACTTCGACTGGCTTCCATGTGAGGTAGTATTCTTGTGTTCTGTTTTTCTGACTTGAGTTTTTGAATCAGCTGTTCATGTTTTTAACGTCTTTCATGTCTTTTGTAGGAGTGTCCAATCGGTGATTCGAACTTGCGATCTTTGAGTTCCCAGCGCACTGTCTTGTCCACTGTACCACGAGTGTCTTCACACAAGAGATAGGATTTAAGTCCTATTCATAGGAGCACTGTCTTCACTAGCATTCAAAAATCTAACTAAACATATTGGATTCGAACCAGCGATCGCTCACAAAAAAGATGGGCAGGAAGGGAATTGAACCCGGGTCCTCCTGATCACTATGTAGAGAACTGACCCACAAGACCACGATGGAATGACTGGATGTGTTTGCATTTGATACGAGTATATAGTGTGTATATATATATATATATATATATATACATGTATATATAGAATTACAACATATTTT